CAATTTAATGGGAGAGACATCATGCAAATAATTTACATACAAAGTAAACTACATACAGGTTAAACAGGAAATAATTAAAAGAGGAAAAGCACTGGAATTAAGAGGGGTTAGGGAAGGCTTCCTGTAGAAAATGGGATTTTAGTTAGAACTAAAGGGAAGCCAGGGAAATTAGTTGTCAGAGTGGAAGAGGGAGAACATGGGGAACAATTACAGAAAAATGCCCAGAATCAAGAAATTGAGTATCTGGCTCATGGAACAGCTAGGAGGCCAGTGTCACTGGATTAAGGAGTAAGGTGTAAGAAGATTGCAAAGGTAGAAGGGGGCTAGGTTACAAAGCACTGTCAATGCCAAACAGAGTATTTTATATTTGATCCTAAAGGTGAAAGGGAGCCATTGGAATTTATTGACTGGAAGAGTAATGAATCCAACTAGTTGCTTGTCTTGTTGATTCAACCTCCTCAAGCTTCTCCTATCTGCCCCTTTCAGCTCTCACAGCATCTACCCTCATTCCAGTCCTCACCCTTTCCCCTCTCTACTAGTTCAGTAGTATTTAAGGACTATCCCTCCACCCAGCCTATTGCATTTCCAATCTGTCATCCACAAAGTTTAAAATCAATGTTTTGAAAACACAGGTCTGACCACGTTATTTTTATGCTTTTCTGTGAAGATTAGTAGTTATTAGTCTGATTTATTCCAAAACTACCCCTGCAAGCTGATACGGTGGCTCTTACTTATTTCACATAAAATATTTTGGGATTTAATCAGAGGTGATATGATAAACACGTCATGTTTTCATGAAAGGTCTTAACTAACTGAACAAGCAAGCCTCCCAAGCTCAAATGTCAATCTAAATTCAGGTATGTGACCAAATATAGATGCTTACCACCATTGTGCCTCTGTTGATTAGCTGATAATGAGCTGTTTTAGTTGGAAACCCCTTTCTACAAAGAACTAGATCAGATCACATTTACTAAAGCGTAATACAGTGAGGTAATTGTTGTTGGATAAGTCTCTAAACATCATATGGAAAGGAAAGGATGCTCCTGGCTTGACTGAGTCTATTTAGACACTCGCGCGTGTGCACACACACACACACACACACACACGTATAATATATATGTATATATATCCCAAGTAATACTTTTTATATACACATATGAATGTGTGTGTGTATAGTCAAACATATGTAAATATGAACAATTATCAACGCAAACAGTGTCTTCTATAATCTAGTGAGTAGATAATCATGGCAAAACTATATAATTCAGTTCAAGAAGCATTTATTAAATGCCCATTATTTTCAAAATACTCTGTTAAATGCTGGGGATATATAAAGATAAAAAAGTGAAGAATAATCCATGACTTCAAGAAGCTTACATGCTCCTGGTGATTACAACTTAGAAATAGATAAGCAAATAAGTGTAAGATAATTTAAGGCAGGAGAAAGAAAAACTAAGAATAAGAAAGATTTCTGTTTTAGTCAATTAACTTCAGGTTTCTTAAAGAAGTAGTATATGGACTCGTATTTGAAATACACATATATACATAAAAAACTTCCTTTGGCATGCTGCAGAATGTCTATTTATATATGTATGTGTATATGTACACACACATATACCACACATCAGAAACCAAGGTAAATATTTAATTTTTTTTTAAAAGCCCACAAGTATATGTGGAAACATGGTATAGTAGAAAATTGGAGTTAGAGTCAGCAAGACTTAGGTTCAAGTTCTGCTTCTGGCACAAACTGGTTGTGTGAGCCTGGGGCATATGTGTGTGTGTGTGTGTGTGTGTGTGTGTGTGTATACATGTACATATATAAGTGTGTATGTATGCATGCATGCATGTACATGGGTATGTGTGTACATTTGTGCACATGCATATGTGTATGTGTATATATGTACATATATATATAAATACAATGTGTATGTGTATATGTGTGTTGTGTATATATATATATATATATATATATATATATATATGCATGTACGCACATATATAATGTATAATGTATGTTTTATTAATGTGTGTGGCTTGGAGTCACACATCCTGTGTGTCAGAGGTAGGAGTACTTGAACGTAGATCTTCCCAGTTCATATCAATACATATCTATATCTACACATTCATGCATACACATAACATGCATATTTTATATTTGTATGTATGTCTATTACATAATAAATTATATCTACATGTATTATATATGCTCGTGTGTGTTGTGTGTGTCTAGACACACACATACACACATATACATGCACAAACATATCTAGACATTCTATATTGATATATTCTATATAGCTAGTGTATTTATGCATACATAAACTTAGAGTCTTGGCTGAGATCCCATAAAAAATGAATGGATTATCTCAGATAGAAACAAGCAAATTTTCTTAATGAAACCCTTTAAGTAGAATGTGTTACAAACGTTTCCTTAGAAGGCTATACCTACTGCAAGAGGTCATAATATCATGAAACAAAATGACACAAATAAAGACAATATATCTAAAATATTCAAGTCTCTAAAATGTTTGTAAACTATTAATATGGAAAAATGAGGTCACTGTATTAAACTTTAGTAAATATGAAGTTTGGTCTGGCTCTTTTAGAAAAGAGTTTTCAATGGAAATTGTTCATTTTCATCTAATCAATATAGGCACAATGGTGGTGAGAAGGATCAGTGGCACCTATGTTTGGACATGAACCTGAATTTGGAGTGACACTGGCACTTGGGAAATAGTTTGTCTTAGCAAATTATATGTCTGCATTATTTTATATCTGTGACCAATAACAGATGTAACAATTTAAATGCTGATGTCTGGGGCAGGGTTAAGAATGAAGTTGCAACACTATTCACTTCTTTGGATGTATGTATATCTATATACATATACATATACATATACATATACATATACATATACATATACATATACATATACATATACATATACATATACACAAACATACATACACACACACACATTATATATATATATATATATATATATATATATATATACTTTGTACTATCTTTATCAGAAGTTAAGCACATGGGTGAAGACAAGATATTATGAAAGATAAATAAAGTCCCTAACTCCCACATTAAAGACTTCAAGCTAAATTTTGAAGCAAGTTAAGAATTAAAAAAAAACAACAAAAAAGAAGAAAAACAAAAAAGGAGACATGATGGCCTTCATGATTTGGGAAACTTAATGAAGCTTGAATTATTTTTATATCATTCTCACCCTGCTTTTTGATTCATTTTTTAAAGTAAATAGGCACAACAATATACTTTCGTGGCACTACACATTAGTTAAACCAAATTTAAAAAAACGTTCTGGAAATTTAGTAAAAGACTAAAATATCGACAACCTCTGACCCAGAAGATCCCATTTCTGAGCCCAGAAAGTAAGATGAACGTATTCAGAGAAGTTTTTTTTTTTTTTGGCAGCAAGTAACTGGAAATAAAGTAGGTGCACATTGACTGGCGATAGGGAGTGGGGAATAGGGAGAGAACGAATTATGGCAAATGCATGTAGCAGAACTTTGCTGTATCAAAATACTATAACAAATATGAAGAATTCAGAGAACCATGGGAAGAGTTTTATGAAATTATGCAATGAAATAAGGTAGGCCAGGAAAACAATATACTTAATGACCTCAAAGATATAAATGGAAGATATGATTAAAAATTAAATAGACCACTGGTTTATTATAGTGACCAACATTGGCCCCAGATAAAAGCTGATAAAATTCACTTTGCTTCCTTTACTGCAGAGGTGGGGATTATAGGTGAAGAATATCACACATACTATTAGACCTACTTGATTTGTTCAATGGTTTTGATGAATTTTTATATTCTTTTTTTCTAAAATCTTTGTCACAAGAATTAGCTTACTAGGTAAGGGAGAGAGAGACATATGTTCAAAAATTAATATGATATAAAATATCAGTAACTTAAAAAAAATAAGTAATTCATCTCCCTACTAGGTCCATCATATTCACTCAGATTTTTCTCAGAACTTGTGCAATTCTCTCAGTATGCACATGCTCAAATATCTCCCTGAAAAGGTCACACATGAAGTGCTTCATTTTTGATGAGTGAAAATTCCAGATTCAGATTTTAAACATGACCAGATTTTACTTACAGTATCATATAAAGGATCTACTCTATTGATTCATGAAGCTGAAAATGAAGCAAACCTAACATTTAAATTATGATTTTGTGCCGTTGAGATGTCTCTTTCATAGCTCATTGAGTGTTTTGTGGAGTAAAACTGCTGCATAGAAAATCTTCATTCAGTGATTTTTATATGGATCTTGCTATTTAGGAAGAAAAAAGTGATCAAATGCTTTTATATTCAAACCTTCTGACAATTAACTTTTATTTTTCAGATAATCTAAATCTTTTGCTCTTACAGTATTTCTTAGAGCAATACTGCTAACAATAATTTAACAGGGATCCTTCATTTGTGATCTGGAAAATGCTGTTAATAAATGGCATAAAGCTTCAGTTTCACAGTTCATAATCTCAAAATTTGTTAAACTTATGGTCTCATTATTACTATATCTTCGAATGAGAAGCATAAACATTCTGCTTTAGCACATAATAAAGAGTACTTGACTAGGAGTCAAAACAACTTGAGTTCAAATCCTGCCTTGGATGTATAATAGCTATTTGACCATTGGCCAATCACTTCAACTTTCTGTACCTCATTTTACACATCTGCAAGACATCGGATTTGATTATCTTTAAGGTCCCTCCAAGGTCTAAGTCTTTGATCTTCTGATACTCAGTATAGATCAGAGCCTGAGAAGTTATTTCAGTAATCAACAGCATTCTTTTTTTTTTCCCTCCTGAGGTCCTGTAAATTAATTACATGCTATTCACAAAGTAAGATGCAATTGAGTGGACATTCTTATTCCCATAGTTTCCAGATGGGTAATTCAATTTCCTTATTTTTCATGTCTTTGTCTTTTCTAGCTTCATCATTAAAAAAATAAAAACATAATGGAGAATTCTGCCTGGAATCTGAATGTTTTTAGGGTCCAGCAGTGGATAGTGACATTATTCTTTTTAACTTCTGAGAATCCACAAAGCGTGAGTGCAGATTAATCATCATGTAGATTTCCTACTAAGAAAGAATGAATCCTATCAGTATAAATAATGGTTTCTGAGTAAGAAAAAAAATGACTAATTTAAGGTAAATATACCTTATTTACCTTCTTGTAAATATCCATATTCACTATTTCTTCTTCTGGAAAATGGGATTAATAATAAATATTTGGTGAACTGTAATTTGGATGAGGAACTGAATAAATTAAAATTACATTCTTGTTATTAGTAACTAATAATTACATTACCAATCAACATAAAATTATTGTAATTATGAGGTACTTCTGATCATTTTAATTTCCTTTTGGCTTTCAGAGAAGGATAATTCTTTTGGATACTTGACCCCATTTCTCCCATTATGAAATAGTTTATGGATAATATGGGGAAGAAGGAAGACAAATTCTTCGATCTCTTCTTTCTCCCAATCCCATTTCTGCAGTGGGGATACCACCTGTGTTCTGCTCATTATAAAACTTTTAGCAAGAAGCTAATGAAATGCAAAGCTTTCTATAAGACCAGCACTAGCCTTCCTATCAAATCATCTGAAATATTTATTTGCCCTCTTGAATAATTGATAGGGGCATCAGCTCTCCCGGTCAATTGATTTATTAAGGGACTGTTTGGAATTAAACAGCTTAAAGATATTAGATTTAGCAGTGATCTTGCTTGTTAGCATATTCATTTACCTACGGGAGCTCCCATTAGATATTGTTAATACATGACGTTTTCAGTCACGGCCTAGATCTCCTCAAATTGCATTAACACCAGGCTGTTTAGCCACAGAATAACAGGTTTGATTGAGTACTTGGGTTTGGTGTAATTAGATTTTCCTAGAAAAGGGGGGACTATTTTAATGCCGTGTGCATTAAACTAGATATGTCATCAGCATTACTGTAATTGGTGAACAGGCGCTTTGGAGACCTGGCTGCCCATGTGAATGCTTGTGTGTGTGGCTTTACCCCTCCATTCTCATAGATGGCATATAATAGCCCTACTTACTTGCATATGCATGACACTGATTAAAAAAAAAAGCAGCTGACCTCTTTAATAAGCATCTCTTTTGAAACAGGTAGAATTTTCTATGCTGAGTAATAGGATCAATTTATCGTTTGTGAAAACTGCCAATTATTTCTCTTACTGAAAAGGTTATGAGGCTAGTTCATCAATGATGATAGTATGTGAATGCATGTAAATGCATGTCTGAATATACATACATATGTTATTTGCATTTTCATTCTGAGAGTTATCTCTTGTGGAAATTTCTATTTCTGCAGTGATGCTCTGATTAGGCTCAACAGCATCACCAACAGAACCTATCTGATTGTTGTCCTGACCAATTCTATTCTGCAAGAATTATATTTTGTTATAAACAGAGTGAGATAAAGATAAATACTTTCTTGGTACCTTTTCTTATTGGAACTCTTATCATCCAGTGCTAAGTTGTAATTAAATTTGTTTGCTCTATTAAAGATCCGAGGTTGGCTATGCATAGAAGCCCACTCACAAAGACAAGCTGGTAATAAAGGGTGGGGCCAGTCTTAGTTAATATTGGCAAATGTACCAAATTTATCATGAATGACCTCCTATCTGTTCTTCTAGGGCCCCTTCCATTTTCCATACTCCTAATCAACAAATGTCTTTATTCTAGCTCCTGCTATCATAAGATTTCAACCACTATGCATGATGTAGGATGAAGATTCCATGCTAAATATTGCTCCATATTTCACGCCATTCCCATCTCCATCAAAAGGTATCTTCCCAGTGTTTCATTCTGTAATCATCTTCCTCTCTACCAATGTTATGATGAGTTAACTTATTGTCTCAATTTTGAGGCATAATTGAATTTTTTGCAAGTTTTTAGGAAGTTTGATAGTCATGGAAATAAAGGATGGGAATTTTAAAATTATGCCATGGCCACTGGGGGAGATATTTAGAAACAGATGGACCTTTCAGTATCCCTCAATTTATGTTGAAGAGGTAGACAATTCTTCTGCCTATAGGTAGTCTCATCTCACTTAATAGAAGGAGGTTTGGGTGGCATTGAAAATTGAAATAACAGAAATTGCTGGATTTTCCTTGATCAATATACTGACATATACTGGCATACACTATAACATATGTTTGTGTATTTTCTGATGAAATAATCTAATTTGCTGATTTTTCCCTCTTTGCGTTTTCTTTTTCTTTTTATTTAAAAATATTATTTGCAATATGGGATTACTCTCTGGGGAAAGGGAGAAATACTAGAAGAAATTTATGTAATGTAAAAGCCAATGATGTTAATAAAATTTATTTTAGAAAGAAAAAAACTATTTGCATGTAACAATTATAATATTAGAAAAACTTTATATAATACATATACATACTTGGAAAAATTGAAATTTCATCAGTATGAAGTCTCTTCCTTACACACACTATAATTCTTAGGATCATAGATTTAGAACTGGAATGGATTTTAGAAGTCTTCTATTCCTATGTCCTTCTTTGCCCTGATTTGATAATAAAAGTTCATAAAAGTTAAGTGACACAGACAGGGTCATATAGGTAACAGGTACTTGATACTTAAAATACGTCCTCTCACTTTGAGTCTGGAGAGATTCTTAGTATTCCACATTCTACATTTTATGTTGTGATGGATGAAAATTACATTACCTACTAGGCTGATCCCTAGAGAACAGATGTACAATCTATTGCTAGGATCTATTCTCAAAGCTTCTTTTTAAAAAATTTTTCCGTAGCTCAATAAGTCCTACAGTGCCTGAGATCTCCCAGCTTAGATTTGTAGAACTCTTAGTTTCATGCCAAATATGTCACTGGGTTTGCACTGATATATTTCAATGACATATTAAATATAGAGAGGTGTTTATAAATATCCATAAGACTAATTTTCTTGTGTGCTTCATAGCCTGGTTTTAAAGGCTAAAAGGAGGCATTTCAAAAGTGTTTGCTGCCACATTGGCTGTTCCATAGAAATATGTATGACCTCCCAAACTGACTATTTTCAAAGAAATAATACTCATTTGGATGCATGAATTCAGTTATCTCTGTCTCATTTTGATATACTTGGACTTTAAAAATATAAGCATATACAAAGTCCATACTATGGCTATTTTCAAATGTTACTGGTATTTACAAAGTTATGTAGCTGAAAAATGTTCTTACAGTTCTAGTTTGACTCCATTTTACTGATGAGGAAAGTGAGACCTAGAAAAATTAAATGACTTACCCAAGGTCACCCAAAGAGTCTTTGAATGAATGACAGAGCACTCAGTGGAACCCTGTGCTTTTAGCTCCTAATCCAATGTATATCACATTGCACTATTCTCTTTAGTCTACCTAAGGAGAGGAAACAAAATAGAGAGAAAATGAAGGAGATGAGAAAGAAAGAAGAGCAAAAGAGAAATGTGATATAGTCATCCACCCTGCCTCCTGAATAATCAATACTGAATTTAGGAATACATGAAATGATAAGAATACTGAAATTCAATAGTGCTTATTAAAATGAAAGAAAAAGTAATGTTTTGGTTAAATTTTTATTTTAGTGAAAAGGCACTGGGTAATATGAAGATTAGCCAGGGAATTCTAACTCAAGAACCTATTCAGATATGTGTTCAATCCATTATTAATCCTACATTATATACTTGCAGAATTTATTTTTTAACCAAAAGTGTGCCCTGGTACTTATAGAGCTCATTCTAATTATTATTGTGTTGTGTTGTTTTTTTTTTTTTTCTGAACAATTCTTTGACTTCTCAAAGTCATTTCTAATTGTAACTCTGCATTCCAAAATACAAGTGGACTTTCTGGGTCTTTTGTCATCTACAAACAAATATTTTAAATGGTAAAAAAGCAAATTTTGTTTTAATCATATTCTGATTTCAGTAGCATTAAAGCAATATCTTTTAAAAGAAGGGAGAATAGTAATAATTTTTGTTTAAACATATGCTTTGTTCTTTTGACTAAAACAACCGATTTCGTGAAGTGACATGTTTCTATCAAACAACACACATTCAGACTTGTTATGCTACCTGTGATTTCTTCTCCACATAGCTTTGATTTGTGTTTTGTTATGCATATTTGGGAATCAGACAAATAAAAGGAGGAAGCAGCAGAGAATAGACTATTCCTTACATCCTTTGCTTGATGTTTTATTCAGAAAGGCAATTCTCACTGCACATCCCAAAATGGGGGGGGGAAGGGATATTTTTAAGATTTCATTTTTAGCGTTCAGTCAAGGAATACAGCTCACCTTCAATGAATAGGCTTTCATTCCCCACCCCATCGAGTGTCTGACGTTGGACTGTATTTAATTTTTAAAACAACCCGTATATTTATTTATTTTTGGAGGTAAGGAAAGCATCACATCGGAGTTGGTGACAACAGAAAGTGGTGCCAGAGCCTTAATCACTGTTTACTGATTTAGTCCATTTTACTAGCAGGCAGTGCTTTTCCAGAGAGCCGTTTTCCTGGCAGGGTGCAAAGACTGCTTTCAGGGGCAAAAGTGCGTGTCTTGATGCTGTTTCCCTCCCCATCCTTGGCTTTGTAACCACCACTGGCAGTGCTACTGCGATGAAGCAATAGGCTTGGAGTGTCAGAGTGCTGCTTCTGACAGAGCTCATCTAGTGGCTGTGTTAATGAGTGTGAGATAAAAGCAGGAGGAAAGATACAAAGGACCCAACAGGGCATAAAAACAATACCTATTGCAGCCAGCACCACACATTTCACACTGTGTCTCCTCTCATGTGGTGAAAAGAATGGAAAATGACAGATAGAGAATATTGCCTTCCACATGGAGGGCTGGCTGGTTTGCTTTTTGTTTGTTTGCTTTCCTAGTCTTTCTTTTATTTTAATTGTTCAAATGGTGAAATTAAATAAAAATAAATAGAAGAAGAAAAGAAATGAAAGAATACCAGGTAGGAGGCTGCTCATATTTTTAGCACAGTTTTTCTTCCCCCCTTTTAATCCCCATCCCTCTTCCTCTATTTGTCACAGCCAACTACTAAAATCCTCTATTAATCGGTAAATCCAGATAATAGTGGAGGTGGGTTGGCTGACCTGTGAAATTAGGTCTGCATGTAAAAAAGGAATTGAACTGCATGAGCTTTGGAAATAACTCTGTCGGTATTTACATTAGCATTTGAACATCAAAGATCTCCCCTGGGCTCATCTAGGTACCTCTAATCCAGGCACCAATCAAATGCCTCTGTTTCTTCCAGCCAAACATGTCATCTTGGGGACTGTTTGAGGTGAGAGGACCAATCAGTAGGCAGATTGAAGGATTTTCATTGGTTCTTAGGCCTGGTGTTTCAAAGAGGATATAGACTTTAGGAAATTCAGTAACATTGATCTAAGGGGGAAAACAGGATTTTGTTTAAAGCAGATATGTCAGCCAGGTGAGTTACAGTTTCACAAATAATAATTACCAAAACAACATATACTTCAACAGCTCCTAGATTCAAAAGCTTCCAGTGGTGTTTAATTAGAGGATGAAAAGTGCATGCACACGCACGTGTGTATCTGTGTGGGGGGGGGGCGTGCATTTTTAGGGTTCCTGCAACTCAATGGCCTCAAAACATGGTTAATCCAGGAGTGTTCCAAGAAACTAATGTCTAGTCATCTCTTTGTAGACTAAATGGCAGACAGAAACATGATTTCTGTTGATTATTGCTGCAGCTGTATTTTGCTTTGTAAACAATTTATTGACTGCTTTAAAATAAAATCTTTAAATTAGAAGTCGAAAAAATTAGCACTAGGACAAGAAGGTTTAATAGATACTCCTATACTGTGAATTGAAATTTTATGACTTCATGTTTATACTTTTTTAGCTTGTAGACTGCCTGTAAGTATAAAGCATTCAAACTCTCCTGATACCCTGGTGTCCTGTACTGATTCTAATTCTACCATCCTTTTCATTCCCTCCCTCTTGATCAACATGTCCCATTTCCCCATTTCCCCTTTCAGTGAACACTATCTTCAGCCAATTAACTCTGCCACAGATTCTCACACATAGTGAGAATACTACAAATCTCAGGGATTAGCCATTTTTACCTAAGAAGATAGGATGTAGTGAGTTTCTTGAGAACTTCTGGGTGCATTCATTTTAACTGGGTATCTTAAAATAACCCACAAATTCTTAAAGCATTACATTAAGAAAGCAAATTGCTCTCTGCTCATATTGTTTGGTAATAGAAAAATAGTGACCTATCCTACAAAATTAGAGGATTTTAACCAAAAAATTAAGAACAAATAAAGATAATGAAATATAAAATATTCATACTTTTCCACAAAAGTCTTTTTAAAATACCATGACATTTTATTAGAAAATATTTAGAAAAAAGCAGAAATGCTCTTCTAAGCTTTGCCAAATCTTTTTACTTTATGATGACCCAATAATTACTATTGTATACTACTTGACAATGAATTGGTTTAAATTTTGTTTTGTTTAAATCAGATCTTTGATTTCCATGTTACTCTTTGCAATGTATGCTGCACAAATCCTATTTTTGATGTCATTATAACCTTTAGGGGACCATAGGCAGAGAATTGCATTGTTTCTATTTGCAAGTACTTTAGATAAATTAGGCAACATAAAGTGTCTTCTTCACAAGTCCATTGTTACACATGTTATTTGCATTGTGAGAAAATACCAGGCAGGAGATGATCCAAAGTACTTTAAAAATGAAATATTAATTTCAAAATTATAAGCTTTTATCAAACCAACACAGAGGAGATTATGATGATGTTTGGGGTTTTGATGGAATTAGTCATCATCTGTTAAAACACTGAAAGTATTTCCTCAATCTCAAACTTTTTTTATTTCAACTCCATTGAATAGTTACATAGATTTCTATCCCATAGGATGGGGAAAAATTAAGGAAAAAGGGAGAGAAAAGAATAGGGAGAGGGAAAAAAGACAGAGCAAAGGAACGAGAGGAAAAGAGATCACCTTTTAGGCTCTTCTTTTCTCTTTCTTTCAAATGACACAATAGAATTTTTTTTCCTAAAGTTGTATTAGGGATTCACTTAAGCAGAAATGAACTGTAATATGCAAATAGTTCTAATTGGACTGCTAATAGAGCGTGTCTCTGTTGTTTTTTTGTAGGGAGTTTTATGCCTATGTAATCAGTGCAGACAGCCGTTAAGTAAATGAAGAGGCAACTAACAATGTCAGAAAAGAGACCGGGCGGTTCCGGCTGACACTACCCTAATCTTCCAGGACCCATTAAATGGCAGTTTCAACGCATTACCTACCATAACATCCTTGAATATCACTGATTTTATTTGCAGTATCAAACATTCCATTTCATGCCCCATTAACAGTGGGAGCCTGAGCTTTTTGACGCAGCTAAACATTTTACTAACTACCTGGACTAAGTAACCAATTAACTTTTGGAGACAATACGGCCAATTAAGCGCGAAAAGGTAAGGCTGTCATCCCCCACTAAAATTGAATTTCCTTTTCCTGATGGCACTTATTGTTGCCGTTCAGTTGTTAATGGAGATTTGGTCCCTATTAAAGTATGAAGGCGAAAGATAATGGAAAAGTTCAGAGGACTTGGTTCCTAAAGAGTAGGTCACAAAGTGTCCCAATTGGCCACTAATTCAGTTAACTTTTCTTCATGCCAGATTACTTATTGGATGCGATTGGCAGTATAGCTCTAATATGACATTCGGTGATAGTACATTGCCTGATATGGTAGCTTCTGAAACACCCACAGGCCCATTGCAGTAGTTTGGGATCTTAAATGGAGAGGTTAAAAAAAGGGAAAAAAAAACTTCAGGGTTTTTGACAGCAGAAATATCACATCCTGCTCAATATTGCTCTGGTTATAACCATGTTGGGCTCATTGAAGATAAATAAGAGCCAGGCCTAGTGGTGAGGTGTGCTTGAAATTAACCCTTGGTGGCTTGGAAAGTCTTTTTTAAAGTGACAGGAAAGGACTGAGACAGTGTTTTTGCTCTGTCTTTGAGTTCAATGGACTGAGAGCCCAAAGAACTTGGCCATAAACTTTTCTAAAGTTTGAGTTAAGCTTTCAGTTCTGTAGTAGCTGCTGATAATGCTGAGGAAAAACCTTTTTAAAGAATATTTCTAAGCATTCTAGTTACTTGGAGAGTCTTACAGGTCAGAAAAGACAATTTATGCAAAAAAAAAAATGCACCTGAACATGGCAATGGAAGTTGGTCTGTTTGGATGAAAGTTCTAGTTAAAGTTAGGTCTTTCTTCAGTCATAACTCGTCTATTCTGTTAAGAAAAGTATAATTTCTGACAATGAGCCAAGATGTCTGATGCTCTGATCTCTTCAATCAAGCTAGAGATAATGAAGTACTCATAATTTACAAATTCAACATTCAGATGGAGGCAGGACATTTAAAAAATACATCATTCTTTTAATCTACGCAGAAAATATATCATGATTAGCACATATCAAGCACATTGATATTTCCTGAATGGGACAGTGATTCAAAACTCCTGTAAAATTAGACATTGGCCTTGTTATTTAAATTATCAAAGTTTTTTTTTTCATTTGTTTGTTTTGATAGCATGACTTCTTAAATTCCATTCAACAAGTTTTAAATTCCAATGCTGCCCTTGGGATTCCAAAGCTTTCATTTGGAAATACAGGTCACAAACTCTAGACATGTTGCCTTAGAACACGAAAATAACATAAATTTAGAGGTAGAAGGGATCTGAGAAATCATCTAGTCATAAGGTCATATTTTTTACTATAAATGGGACCTTAGAAGTCAGTTCAATCCCCTCATTTTAGCAATGAAACATACACACACACACACACACACACACACACACACACACACAGAGCTAAGGCACAATAATGTTAAATGTAGTGTCCTCAGTCACCCAGGTAATAAGGTTCAGAGTCAGGATTTCAGGTGGCACAATAGATGCAGTGCTGGGCCTGAAGTCAAGAAGACTCATCTTCCTGTGTTCAAATCTGGCCTCAGACACTTGTTACCTATGTGACCCTGTTTGCCTCAGTTTCCTCATCCATAAAATAGGCTGGAGAAGGAAATGACAAACCACTCTGGTATTTTCACCAAGAAAATCCCAAATGGGGTTACAAAGAGTCAGACGTGATTGAAAAATTACTGAATAAAAACAACAACATTTGAACTCAGGTCCTCTGACTCCAAATTTAGCAATCTTCCCACTGCCTCTTTCTTGAGGATGTGCTCCTCTTGTAAAGAAAAATTAGGAAAAAAATTCTGCTACTTGGATAGTTAAGGAGAACAAATATTTTCCTTTCAAATTTCTGCTTTTAATCCCATTATTAGAACATTTTCCAGGACTATTCCTCAGTCATGCTTTTATTTCAGTTACTTTCCTTCAGCAATTAGTGATTTTAAAAGCTTTTGGAAAGGTATTATTTGTTAATATAATCTCTCCCCTCCAAAAAAATGATCATACTCATCACTACAGAAATTTTGATCTATTTTGTATCTGACCTCTGTTAGTTTATATCTCCTCAGGCAGCCTGGTCTCCCCATTCCACACACACATACTTCTCAATCCTTCCTTGGCAGCTCACTACATTGGTGCTGAACTTAGTGCAGAATACCTGATTAGCATGAGTCCTATTGCAGCTCAGAATTCCTGAATTCAATGTAGGTAGCCAGGTAGCAAGGATTGCAAGTCTGCATCATCATGCCCAACTAACAAAAATGTTACTGTCTCATGTCAAAGGAAAAAAAATCTTGAACTATTTTACTTTTTTCTTTTACAATAAGGGGGTTGAATAAGCATTTAAATATATGTTATATACAATACAATATAATATAAGCACTTTGTACAGTTCCTGACATATAGTAGACACATACTATATGCCAGAAACTGTGCTAAATGCTTTACAAACATTATCTTATTTGATCCTCAGAACAACCCTGTAAGGTAGGAGGTATTATTAACCCCATTTTATGGTTGAGAAAACTGAATCAGAGGTTAAATGACTTGTCCAGGGTCACACAACTAGCATCTGAGGCTAGATTTGAATTTAGGACTCCCTGACTTGAGGCTCAGTGCTTATTCACTGCACCACTCAGCTGGAAACAGACAGACAGAGAGAGAGAGAGGGAGAAAGAATGAGAGAGGGAGGGAGAGAGAAAGAGAGAGAGGGAGAGACAGACAGAGACAGAGACAGAGAGACAGAGAGCCACACACACACACACACACACACACACATACACAGAGAGAGAGAGAGAGAGAGAGAGAGAGAGAGAGAGAGAGAGAGAGAGAGAGAGAGCGCACACTCGAGTTTGTTCCGTAGCACACAGTTGACTTCTTTCCTTCCTACTCTTTTTTTCCAGGTCCTTTTTTTTTTTATCTTTTGCCCTCCCCGTAATTCATTCCTCATGAACATTCCAACAAAGAGCAATAAAAAGAAGCAATAAAAGTTGCTAAAATTCAAAGTTATTGATTTTTCTACTTTTCAATAAGTCTGATCAAAATTTTCGTGGGGGAGGAACTTGAAGCTATTAGGGATTTCTGGTAGATTTCACTGATGCTCTCCATTCTAATCACTCCAAAGTTTGGATAATCAAAAATCTCAGAAATCATTGGATTTAGAGCAGGGAAGGACCTTAGATTATCTACTACTACAAACATTTAATTTCACACATAAGGCCCAAAGAAAATGTAAGCTTGAGTAAAGTCACACAGAGAGTAAAGAAAAGAGCTAAGCTTGGCACCCAAGTCTTCTCACTCCAAATTCATTACTCTTGATTCTTTTTATAACAGCAAATATTCATCTTAAAATTCAAGATTAATAATAGAATTTTTTTGTTAAAGAATATGCAAACTACAAATCCTCAAAAATTGAGACAAAACTGTTCAAAAGTTCATTTCAAATAGTAACATATATATGGCTTGTTGAGAATTCACTTTCAGATGAGCACTTCATTACATATATTATGGATACACAAGAGATGCTGCTCAAGATAGTTCTATACATTGTCAGGCATAGACACTCTGTTGGGGGTTTTTGCTTAACTGGTTTTTTTTTCTTCTCTTTTATGAGGGAGAGTTCAATTTTGAGAGCAGATATTTCCAGAAATCCCTGTTAATGAAAAAACAAAAAGCATCAATTAAACTTATTTTTAAAAGAGTCTGTGCTTACAAGTAACTTATAATCTAATGGGAGAAAGAATAAACAGGCATGAAAAAGTATATATGACCATAAAAATAACAAAACATGTAAATGAGTATTCACTAATAGAACTAAATGGAACTATAATGCTTAAGTGCTGAGGAAAATCTGATGCATATGGAACAAGTAAAGGAGTGTGGTTAGTCAAAGAAATCATTCAAAATAATTTTTAGTAGGGTTTGGAGGGAAGAAGTGGCATAATTGAGAGGGCATTTCGCTAATGATTGCACAATAACATATTTAGTACTTGCTATGTGAGTGTACACATACCCACATCCTACAACCATGCTTCACAAAAGCATGGAGATAATTTTTTTGGTATCTTTTGCAGCTCCTACCAAGCTGAAACAGTTTGTAGCACAGCCGAAAATGATTCAAAAACTCACTGAGCTTTGTTAGGCAGCTAGCTGTCCCAGTGGGTAGAGAGGTGGGCCTAGAGTCAGGAAGCCCTGAGTTCAAATCCTACTTCAATCACTTAGCTGTGTGACCCTGGACCAGTTACTTAGCCTCTATCTATCTCAGTCTCCCCATTAGCAAAATGGAGACAATAATAGAACCCTACGTCTGAGTTATTGCGAGGACAAAGAGATAATTATCATTTTATTTTCAAACCTTAAAGAGCTATTTGAATGCTAGCTGTTTTTGTTGTTGTTTTGTTATTATTATTGTTGTTTTTGTTTTTGCTGGTGTTTTCATATTAGAGAGGTCCCTCACCACATAGTTGGGAGGTATATTTTTTTGGTTTCTTTTCTTTTTTGGCTATGGAGGGGGATGGAGTATATGAAAGGACAAGCATGAAGGGAAAAGGCAGAGTAGTAATGTAGTGAGATCAAGGGATAAAAGATAGATAGCTGCTTTATTGAACAAAATATTAAAAGACCCAGGGAAAGACCTCCAGCATTTAGGTTATATACTCCGTGGATGATTGATGGAAAGACCTAAACAAGAATCCCATAGGATGGAAAGGCATGAATAGGTTACAGAATACACTAGATAATAGAGATCCATGGAATGACTGAAGAATGAGCTGTGACTATAAAGCAACTCTTCATGGGTGGTTTAGGGAAACCAGTGTCTGAATTGTATACTAACCTCATGTTGCTGTTGTTGTTTTTTAATAAGATTCTCCAGTCTTCCTAGATGTGGATCATGTCTTATTTCTCCCTTCCTCTTCTCCACTTTTCCTCTATCTAGTCAACAAGCTTACTACTTTACCCCAATCCTTCTTAATGGAGGACATTCCCTTCTATTTCGCTCTTA